GAGTTTCAAAAATAAAGTGATATTTACAATAAACAATCACGAACTGCAGAGGTAATTTGGTGAAGAGAGGAGTTTAAACTTTATTAAGAGTCCAAAAAATGAAGTAAATAATCTTGTGAATTGAAACGAGAGATAAGGCACAATACACGTTAATTTTAGAATACGCTATCTGCAGTCACTTATTATTACAATCGTTCTACGTGACATATATGTAGCGGTTAATAATTTAATATATGAGACAAGAAAAAATTACCATATTAATACAGCAAATCACAAATCACCATGTAAGATGCCAAGTGGGACGACTATCATAGTGAGGGACAATAAATAGTGTTATTCTTAATTTTATTAACGGTTGCTTAATTTATGGGATTTCTGTTAATTATTTCTTTAAATTCTTAATTAATAAAAATAACAAAAATTTAAATTGTCAGTATCCAGAATCCAGGAATTGTCGAATACAAGAAATATTAGTATTTCATACTTTTTACGATATTTCACATATCATATTTAAACGTCTTAAACAAATAAATTTTAAATAATAGAATTTTTAGTTGATTAATTCTGGCATTGCAATTAAATTCAAATATTATTTTAAATATTTTATATAATAAAGAATTAATATTTAGTTGAATATTTATGTGTACAATTATTGCCCCGATTTGGTTCAGTTTGAGAATTAAATTAAATCTAAAAATCTAAAACAACAATTAATTTTAAATACACATTTCATGAAGCTTATAACCTTCCAACCACGTATTTCATAATTTTTTGTCAAAATCTATTAAAAATCTGATTTTTATCTAAATCAAACAGGGGCAATAAATCAAAATTATTTTTCTAGTTATGTTGCTAAACAGTCAATTTAGTGTTCACAACATCTTTTTTTTTTTTTTTTTTTTTTGGGATGACCATACAATTAGTAGCTTTTTCCTAACAAATCTTTATGGAAAAACTCTAGTAATAAAAGCTCTAATGCTAAGACCCATTTGAGCTCCATTTTTTATTTTTTATTTTTTTTTTCAAAAATTTACATTTTTCTGAAATTTATTTTAATCACACATTCTATTATAAAATAGTGTTACATATAAATTCATAACTTTTCATTATTTTTTAATCTATATTTTCAAAAAATCATTATTCCGAAACATATTTTCTCCACAAAAAAAAAAAAAAATAAAAATCTCATTTTAATGGATCCTAAACTGGGGAATAAAATCTCTATAAGCCAAAAACGGACATAATTATATTAGGGCAACACCGCCATAGAAATTTTTTTGAATGCAGAAGTTAATACATAAAATTCAACCAATAAATAAACAGATACTTATCCAATTCTAAGAACCTATATTGGCTTCTGATTTTGTAAAGAGATTTTACCTTATTATGCATGGAGGAGATGGTCTCATACTTCCCATGAAGGCTTCCACTAATTTAAGTGGAAATTGTTCCTTAATTCTTCGAACACATAGCCAGAGTTGATCTTTGCCAATGTTGAAACGAAAGGAACAAATTCTGTCGTTGCTGAAACAATCCCCATCTTCTCCCAGGATTTTTCTAAAATATTGTGCATGAAAATTTCTCCATCTCCTCCATCTTTATTCCTCAGAAGAAGAACCAGTCTTTGGCCATCAAATATTATAGGAAATCCATTCTTGTAGTCATTTTTACCTGTTAAACTTATGTTTCCAATTCTATGCCAAATTTTCCATGTCTTAGTGTGGACAAGATCATAAACATATATGACAGTTTCATATTTTGAAGGGCAAACAAAGACAAGTGAATCTCCAACTCCTCCAAACCAGATGTCATATCCATACCTTGTACCAAAGATTAACTTAACAGGTCCTTGAAAGATTCGAGCCCGGCGTTTTTCCACGTCGAAAGAAAGAATACTTCCATCTTCTCTAAGCCAATGTAGAGAATTATGCAAGTAAACAGGTTGAATATTTCTGCCCAGAAACCCACTTGATTTGCAAACAAAATCTTCTTCATTTCTTTCTTCCCACTGGCTTGAACAAAAATTATATATTGTGAATCTACACATCTGATTCTCCAAGCAGTTTCTGTGTTTACTTACATGAACGAAGACTAATCTGACTCTATATGAATGAGTATTTGAATCAACGGCCAAGCCAACTGAACCTACAACCCAACCATCGTGTTTGTCTTCTTGCACAAAGTTGAATTCTCCTTTAATAGGGTTTATGACAAAGTAACTTCTATGTTTATAGTAAAGAAGAAGAATTCCACCACAAGAGGCAAATAGAAAAGGAGGGTTGTTCATAATCTTCAAATTATTCAGAGGGTAAGGATTCTCCAATTGGAGTTGGCTAAATTTTGTAGGATTCAAATTCGAGCAATAAAGAAGGTTACTTATTTTTTGGTTTGATCGAACAAAGTGTTTGTGCTCAAAGCTTTGATTTGAAACATACCTGTTGAAATTTTTGTCCAGAATCTTGCATCGAACTGCGTCTTTTAGGGGTAACCATGAGATAACCTCAAGAACTAGATCATCATTCAATGTTGCCATATTTTTGCTGTTTCATTATGTTCAATATATATATATAGATGTTATTGGATTTAATTCTTTAACTACGATTAGGAAACGCAATCAACAAGGAAACAATTATTGTAACTATTGTCAGATGGAAGAGACCAAATTGGTTTAGAATTTGAAAGATTTTGTTTCATAAACTGAAACTGAAATCGTGGTTAAAATCAAGTGCAACTTCTCAATTTTTGTAGGGTTTAATGTACATGAGAATGAATGAATTAGAGTTCCAGTAAATTAAGGATATATAGGAAAGCATGTTTTGTCTAATATTCTATTCACATGATTCAAACAATATTTGCTGAAAATCAGGAATTATTTATGAATATAGCCTAGACATAACAGCTGTAGGACCCAACAACACAGCTACTTTCTTTCACTCCAGCAGATTCTATTTTTGGTAAAAATACCCACTTTATTTCTTCAATAGCAAACCTGTGTTTTTCTTTGTAAGCGGTCAGCAGAAAATTTCAAAACTTGCAGGCAGCTTCTCTTGTTCCGATGATCCATGTTTTCCACTTCATTTAATTCAAATATCCATCTCATTACTCCCTCTCAAGATAGAGATGCAATTGAATAAATCCCCATCTTGCCTGAGAGAGATATTGGAACTTCTTTGAACCAATTGCCTTCGTCATCAATTCTGCAACTTGTAAATTTGTTGATATGTGAAATGTCTTTATCAAACCGGCCTGTATTTTCTCCCTCACAATGTGAGAATCAATCTCTATGTGTTTTGTTCTCTCATGATAAACTGGATTTGAAGCAAGAACAACTGCTTGACTATGACAGAATAATTGTATTGGTTTCTCAATAGATATGCCAAAGTCATTCAATTAACTTTTAAACCATACCAACTAGCAAGTTGTTGTAGATATTCCGCCTCAGCAGAGGACCTAGATACAATCCTTTTTTTCTTTGACCTTCATGATATCAAACCATCTCCAAAGAAAATGTAAAACCCAATAATGGACCTTCTAGTTTTTGGACAAGTGTCCCATTCTGCATCACAAAAGACAGTCAGCTGCAGCTTACCTTTTGTTGGATAAATCAACCCTTGTGATGAAGATGTCTTCGAATATCTTACTACTCTTAATGCTGCCTTCCAATGCACATCTTTCGTCTGACTAAGAAATTGACTTAGGACCTGTACCGAGTATGCTATATCAAGCCTAGTTATTGTTAGATAAAGAAGCCCTCCTATTAGTCTTCTATACTATCTAGGATCAGCCAAGGCTTGCTCTTCTTTCCAATTGAGTTTCAAATTCTGTTCCATGGGAAATTGGACAGATTTAGCACCAAGAAGTCCACGGTCTTGTAGAATTTTTAGGGTGTATTTCCTTTGACAAATGAAAATCCCTTCCTTGGATCGAACAATTTCTATGCCTAGAAAATATTTCAACTTTTCAAGGTCCTTTAGCTTAAAATGGGCTGCCAAATATGGCTTCGATTTTTGTATTTCTTCTTCATTGTCTCCTGCAATCACCATATCATCAACATATACAAGCATTACAATAAAAGAGGAATCAATTTTCTTCGTAAAAGTGAGTAATCTGCTTTAGATTGGATAAAACCAATCTTGGTAATAACAGAAGTGAGTTTTTTATTCCATTGACGATAGTCTTGCTTCAAGCCATAAAAAGGCCTCTTAAGCCTACATACTCGTTGGTCCCTCTCTCTACCATATCCAGGAGGTAGAGTCATATATACTTCCTCATCCAATTCTCTATAAAGGAAAGCATTATTAACATCAAGATGATGGAGAGACCAGTTTTTACATACAGCAATGGACAGACGGCATATCACAGTTGGCATCTTGGCAATGGGGGAGAAGGTCTCAAAATAATCTTCTCCTTCTCATTGAGTGTAGCCTTTCGCCACCAATCTAGCCTTGTGTCGTTCAATGCTGGCATCTACCTTATATTTGGTTTTGTAAACCCATTTGCAACCAACTGTTTTCTTCCCTGGAGGCAAGTTGGTTAGTTCCCATGTCTCATTGGCTTCAAGAGCTTAAATTTCAGCATTCATGGCACTCCTCCAATGTAAGAATTTTTGGGCTTCTTCAAAGGTGCGAGCCTCTGGCTCAAGGGTGATGGATAGAGTATATTTCAAGTGTGTGGGTGAGAGTTTAGAGTAATTAAGAACTGAAACAAGAGAATAATTGTTACCTCTAAGAGTTGTTACATAGGAAGGAAGATTGCCTAAAGTTGCCATCCTGCAATGAAAATCTTTGATGTATTCAGGTCTATTTATGATTCTAGTGAATTTACATGGTTCTTGGGGAAAAGGTTGTTCAAGAAGTGGGAGAGGAGATGATTCAACAGCTTCTGATGAAGTAAGAGATTCCTCATGATTATGGTTATCAATTTCAAGTGTTGTTTCCCGTAAAAAACCAGAATTCACTCATTTGTGAAAATTGATTAAAACTCTTTGAGATGGGATTTGGTATAATTGGGACATCATCTAGAGTAGTGATTTTTGGTGTAGGTAGTAAAGAAGATAATTTGTGATTTTACTGAAAATGAAATGTGTCTTCATAAAAGATCACATCTCGACTAGTTATGCTTTCTCTTATTTTCATGTCAAAGACTTCATAACCTTTTATTCCGTTTGGATATCCAATGAACACACATTTTCGGGCTTTAGGATCAAACTTATTTTTGTGGGGATCAAGATTTGATGCATAGCATAAACATCTTAATGTTCTTAAGTGAGAATAGCTAGGTGTTTTACCAAAGAAAAGCCAGTAAGGACTTTGAATTTGTAAATTTAGTGAGGTGTCCTATTTATGAGATAAGCAGCAGTTAGGATGCACTCTCCCCAAAATTTTAAAGGTAGGCTAGCTTGAAAACACAAGGTCCTTGCTATGTTCAACCAGTGCAAGTGTTTTTTTGCTACTACCGAGTTTTGTTGTGGTGTGTACACACAACTTTGCTGGTGGAGCACCCCTCTTTTGGAAAAAAATTTGTCATGTTAAACTCCTTTCCTTGATCAAATCTTACGGCCTTTTTTTTGCATTTGAATTGATTTTCAATGGGGTAAACTATCAATGATGTTTCTAGTTTGACTTTTGTTTGTCATGAGATAAACCCATGTTGTTTGGCTGTGATAGTCAACTATTGTGAGAAAATAGTATGCTCCATTCAATGATGCAACAAAAAAGGGCACCAAATATCAAGGTGTATTAAATAAAAAAAACAGCTTCTACAAAATGGTGACCAGAGGGAAAAGGTAATCTGATTTGTTTTCCCATATGGCAAGCATCAGAAAAAAATTTGCATCAAACCTAGGAATACTAGAGTCTAAACTATGCAGTAAATTCATTCTTTGATCAAAGGAATGTGCCATTCTAAGATGTCAAAGCTTAGTTATCAAAACAGAGTTTGATGGGTGGTGCGTGCTGTCGTAGGCACTCCAAATTAAAACTTATTCTTCTTAAAATTAATATAGTAGTGGAAGTAAGAGTCGATCCCACGAAAAGTGATCAATTTACTTTTTGATGCAATATTAACTTAACTGGGGGGTTTTGGTTTCTTGAAATAATACATATCACCTAATTAAATATAAGCAATAAAACAAATCTTGATCTAAGTTAGTATCCACCGTAGAAAATTAATAACCGGTCATTGATCCACAAATAATCATCAATTCATAACTGTAGCATTCATTGTGAAAAATAAATTTTTCATTCGAAACAATTTTCTTATTTCTCCTTAGTTTTAAATAATTAGAAACAAGTAATCTAATTAATCCTCATCATCAAACAATCCTATACAAGCGCGAGAATTTAATTTAATAATGGTTTTGCGAATTAGAGAAATCAATGAACTAAATAACACAAGCCAAACGTTTGCATTTAACCTAGATAAATATTCTCCCTAAGATTTAATAATTTTTCAAAGCAGCAAATTACTAATCCTAGTTGCTTCACAAGTCAAATTAATCAAACAATTATGAATTTGATATTTAACTTAGCTATAGATTATTGAGACTAATAAACTAGCGTGCACTCTAAAAATTAAACACAACAATCATAGAAGTGCAAAAGAAGATTTAATACTAAATATATGAATTAATCATTAAAAATTAGTGGATCTCACAGTTATGACTGTTCTAAGGCTTCCGTCTCCTTCGATCAAGCAAAAGAAATTAGTTACATATCATAGATCTTGAACACAAGAGAGAAAAATAGGGTTGGGGCGTTCTCTAGGTTTTGGACGAGATTTGGGGTATATATATCATGTACAAGATTTTTTTCATAAGAATTTCAATCAAAAAAGGAAACTAAATTTTTCTTGTCGCGATTGACTTGGGCTGTCGCTCAGGGAAAACTCGAGCTGTCGTTCAGGCATGACTTTTGACTTCGATAATTGACTTTTGGTGTTGGACAGTCACCCGAATTTTATAACTTGACTGTTGCCCAGGCAAAATTTCTTCCAAAAGTTGTATTTTAGTCCCGAATTTCATTTTTGATTCCTTTAAATCATTCTTCTTACAATTTCAACCGTTCAACTTCTAATTGCGTCCAATTGATCGCGCAACATCTTTAGTCTTCATTCCATTGCTCGTCTCATCTAGAGATTATTTACAACTTGGTCCCTGAACTTTCAATTTCTTCCATTTAAGTCCTTTTTCGCTCTTCTCTTCTATTTCATGCCATGATCATCCAAATGCAACTTAAATAACAATATAAGGGTACTTAGTACATTTAGGTGTTAATTAATCATAAAAGTGCAAGAATTAATAGATATAAATCACGATATTTCATGTCTTATCAATGGGGGCAACAAAATGATTGGTTCAGGGCTGGTCCAGTTCCAGATAGTAAAGACCTAGAACTTCCTTAGCAACTCCAATCATCTTATTGGTTACCAGCTCCTATATGTAACAACAATCAGCAAGGAAAACATAATGACAATTCATGTCTTTGGTCAATTTACTTGTGGAAATTAGATTAAA